TCCTCTGTCCCAAGACCCAGCAGCCTGCGTGCCCGCGCCGGGCCTCTGGACCAAGAGCGCTCGGTCCTCCCAGCGCTAGGAAGTGTCCCTTGCTGCTCGCCCCCTGTGCCAGCTCTGCCGGGTGCCGGGCCCCCCAGTGAAGCTGAGCAGCTCCTCCTCCAGCGTCTCCCTGCAAGGTGGGGGGCCTCTGTCACCCGAGGTCCCCGACTGAGTCTGGAAAGGAGAAGCGTCCGCCGACCGCCCGGCTGGGACCGCAGAAACGAGAAATAAGCTTGGGTCGCTGAGCCCCGGGCTGCTGGTTACCGCAGAGTTATCTGACGCAGCCTGACTGATGCGGCACACAGCCCCTCTGGGCGCCCTGCTGTGGCGTCACCGGGAGACCGGCAGCAGGACAGGAGATCAACGCTTCCTTCCCCGCTGGCCAGCAGCCTTCACCCCAGAGTGCGCCGCGGCTTACAGCACGGGCCCCAGGGCTTAGGGGCCATCTCCAAAGCTCAGGCCGGGCTGAGGCCAGGTTCTGCGTCTCTGCAGCACAGGAGCTCACGGCCCCGGCTCCCACGCCAAGGCACTGAGCGGGACACCAGGCGCTGTCGTGGGAGTCCCCCCACCGGGCGGCCCAAGAGGCTGAACCCTGCTTTAGAGATGAGAGCTTTGGACGCCACAAGGACTAAGTCCAAGGTCACGTAGCTAATTCAGGTGCTTGAACCAGTCTGTGTCTTCTGCCTCAATACCAATATTCTCAAAAGGAGAAGTAAACCCCAGCACTTGGGAGGCCGAGGCGGGAGGACCGCAGGTTTAAGGCCAACCTGGGCTGCGGAGTGAGTTCAAGTCCAGCCTGGACTACGGGGTGCGACCCGTCTCTAGAGGCCTCAGAAGGAAGCGCGCACCGCAGCCCGGGCCGGGCAGTCTCACTGTGCCGCTCCTCCAGCAGGACTGACGCTTCGTCTGAGGACCTCACGCCTTGCGGCCTCCTCCTGTCACTCAGCTACACGGCCGGGGAGACAAGGCCACCCCCAGGGCAGCGGGGCTGGCGGGGTGCGGGGGATCCTCTCCCCAGCCAGTCAGCACGTGCAGGAACCTCTCCCCGCCAGGCTGCAGCCGTTCTCTCAGAAGAGCTTCAGTACAGCTTGTCCCAGGCCGCCTGAGCACTCTCCACTCGGGCTCCTCCCAGCCAGGGCCATCGCTTGCAAGGGGCCCCTCCACGCGCAGGACTGCGGGCCGGCACGGAAGGGGGTGCGTCCAGCTAAAGGCTGCGGGGGGTGCGACCCGGGGCCAGGGCTGGGGGGCGGGGCAGGGGTGAAGGACCCCAAGGAGACAGAGAGAGGCAGCTGGGGCTGGTCGGGACCTCCCGCGCCAGCGTCGGGAGTCCAGTCTCGGCCTCACCGCTCGTGACCTGGGCGCCCGCGCTCATCCCGGGCCTCGGCTTTCTCACCCGCGCAGGGGAGCCGAGAACAGAGCCCTCCTGGACGCGGCTGCTGGGGGCGTGAAAGGCACTCGTGCACAGGGCAGTCAGTGTTCGCGGACCCTCCGTCCAGCGCTAAGTGCTGCGCACATACGAACTCGTCTGGGCATGTGGCTATTATTCTACCCATTCTCTAAGCAAGAGAGAGGCGAGGAGAGGGGAGTCATTCCAGCTCGGAGCGTTTCAGGAACTCCTGAGCTGCCCGGTTTCTGTGTAAAGGAGCAGTCAGAGCCGGGGAGGGCCGGGAGCAGAAGTTTCCCGTCAGCCGGCTTTTGTCTTTCACATGAGCCCGAGACAGACAAACCACAGCCACAGACTGGACCAGCTGTGGAAGCATCGAACAGGAAACCCAGAACATCTGGCGCTCCACTTCCTCTCACAGCCGTGTGAGCTGGGTGTGTGCGCGTGTGGCTGCCTGCGTCCGCGTCTGTTTTCTCTCTCGCTGTTGGGTAGCGGGCTCGGAAGCAGACAGGGTTAGAAACCACAGACCTTGTGGTGACAGGGAAGCCAGACACCGGCTCCCCACCCCGTGGGGCACAGCGCCGCTCCCCAGACAGCGAGCCCTGTGGGGTCTGGCCCAGCCTCCCAGGCCGCCCTCCGACACCTGGCCGTGGCTCCAAGGCCCTGTACAATTGGAGGAAGGGAGTTCTTTTCCTCTTGGACTTAGGTGGTTTGAGAGGAGCTGTCTGGGGATGAGGCAGGAGGGTGGTGCTTAAATATAACTTGGCCTCCGCCTGCAGACCCACAAAAAGCAACCTCTGCGTGAAAGCTGCTGTTGCACCAATTACAGGAGACTCTGGGTGACGGCTAAGGCCATGGGCTGCCCAGGGAGCTGATTTCCCACTGATGGTGATGTCGTCGGTGTCAGGGCTGAGAAACATTGTTTGTCGTGTTTCATTTTGTTTTGCTTTTTCCTCAGTCTTCTAGAAGGAAAAAATATAAGGAAGTGGAAAGAACAGGCTCTCTAAGCCCCAGCATGAGGCTAACTCTCATACTATCCTTAGAGGGGCAGCACTGTGTCCAGTTTTAAGAACTGGGAGTGATGGTGCACGCCTGTAATTCGAGCACTGGAAAGACTGTGGCAGGAGGATCACCACGAGTTTGAGGCCAGCCCGGGCTACCTCGTGAGTTATAATGACATCTTGTTTTAAAAAAAAAAATCATGACGTTGACGTAGAGAGCTGTGTAGACTCACCTAAGATCTTACAGCAAGCAAGAAGCAGGGTCAAGGTTCAAATTGATCCCCAGCCTCCTGCTAGGTCCTACATCCCACTTTATTCCTGCAGTGAACAGGGATTAACTGTGCTCACCACAGTGCAATGGTGTCCAGTAAACACTTCCTGAACCAGTGACCTGCGCTATCTGCAGCTGATGGCAAGAGACGGGCCACCCCTCTGCTGTTGCCCAGGTATCCACACCGCGCCCAGCACGGACTGGGTATTTACTCAGAGTCATAACTGAGCAAAGGAATTCTGAGTTTGAGAACAGCAACACACACTTCGCTTTCCTAGAAGTCATTTATTTAGCAAGATCAACTGGATCCTGGCTAACGCTAAGCCCCACAAGCAATCAACAGAAGCCGGTCCTTGCGTCAGAGCCGAGCTCCAGGCCTGGTTCTCCTTGCTCAAGAACCAACACTCAACAGCAGGGCTGCTGATCTCTCCTTTGCACGACTCCGTAGGCGCGCAGGGTTGGGAAGGAGACGGTATGCAAGAAACAGCTTGCTGGCCACAGCAATTTGTGAGCAAAACAGCATGTTCAGACTGGAGGGTGGCACTGTGGCAACAATAGGAAACGCAGGGCAGGGAAGAAAGATGATGTGGACGAATCGTCTGCGGGATCTGGAAAGCCAGACAGAAACTGCAGCATCTCCTGATTCTCTGGTTAAGATTAAAGGCACAGCAGCGAGGGCGGGCCGACCTCAATCTCATCCGCAGGAGGTAAACATGCTTGCCCGGTACTGGGAGTTGAGGCGTGCTCTCCCAGCACTGAGGTAGCACATGCGCAGTGTCTGCGGTCGCACTCCTTTTCATACCTGCGGGTCTGCGGCGTCCAATCTACTCAGGCAGAGCCTACGTCACGCAAGTGCCGCTGGTCCATGACGTCATCCGACAGCGCCTTTGCGGACCCCCAATCCCCAGCAGCGACTGACTGAGCAGTTGCTGTGGAGACAGGACGTGGAGCTCCGCCTCCGAGATAGGATTGGAGGAGAACTGGCCAGCTGACACTGGCAAAGGTTCAAATGCTTGCGGTAGGCTCTGGGGCGGCGCTTTCCGTGCGGGTTTCCCTGGCAACCTGGACTCCCTCTAGCTGTGGGGAATAGTGATTCTCAGGAACCCCTTGGCCCTGCGCACAGCCCAAAAGTCAGTAGCGGATGATTCTGTTAAAATAAAAATTCACACCGCCCTAAGTCGGAGTCCGTAAGACTGGAGGCATCAGTGTGACTTCAATGTATCGCTTAAACTGCTCCGGGGCCAGGGGTAGCATAACCTTTTTGAACTTCAGTTCTTCATGACGCAGGATTTTCCCTATTATTACCGGATTTCTAGAAAGAAAGCCCAGGTGTGAGTTCCAGAACGCAGAGCAAGGAGCCCAGCAGTGGTGGGAGCCTGGAAGGGATCTGTCATTAGGATACGTTCAAGATCTATCTTCCAGGGCCTGACAGAAACTTCGGGGTTTTATTGAAGAAGGGAACAAAGGCAAAAGTGAGGGGTTTGTACAGCTGCGGGGAGGTGCGTATCTGGCACAGACCGTCCTGGTCTATCCTTGGTCTAGTTGATTCTTATCCCAAGACTGGTTCTGGCTGACTTCAGGTCTAGCACGAAGACTGGAGACTTCTAGGCACCAGTCCAGGGAATCTAGAACAGCTCACTTGGATGTTCCCGCAAATCTTGAAAATGCCTTAGATTCTCTTATCTTCAGTCTCAGAGGCAGGATGAGATAGGGGAGGTAAAATTAGGGTGAATAAATCCTGTTTTACCAGTTTTTAGACAGAAACTCCTTAAGTGACTAACATGCCTCCGGGCAGAGCTGAGCAGGGATCTGACTCAAAGTTTAAAGGCTATAAAACAAAGGCAGAGATGCCAAACTTTAGCCTGCTTTTCATTACCCCACAGGCCTGGCGTTTCAGTCCCTGTTACACCATCAGCATATAAATATGTTATTTTTTTCCTTCTTAAATAAAACCCTCCCATGACCGCATCTCTCTCTCCGTTACTCTTTGAGAGAGGGTCTGTCTTCTTTGTCTCGCTGTCTCCTCCTTCTCTGTTGAGTCCTCTCCTGGGCGTGCACTGGGTGTCTTTCTAGTCCTCATTGCCCAATCAGTGACATTTGATACAGTTTCTCACCCTCCCCTTGTAAACCTTTCTTCACTTGGCTTTTGAGGTCATCCACACTTGATTTTCTTCAGGTCCCTGGCCTGTCCTCCTCTTATCTGTTGGTTCCACCTCTTTCCCAGACCTCTCAATGCTGCGCTGGCTTCTTGGACTTTTCCTTTTCACTTATTCTCCAGATACGCTCATCCAGTTTCCCGGCTCTAAAGACCATCTGTACACTGATGACTTTACTGCCCAGCTGGAAGCTTTGTCACCTCACAGAATGGCTCTGAGGTAGGAGATCAGGGTCCGGGCAAAGTGGACAAACAGCCAGGCCAGGTGCATCAAAGGTCACACCCACACACACAGGACCTGCGCAAAACACGGTACAGGCTGACTCTGAAGCCCCTGACCACTGCACATGGAACCAATCAGAGATGTGCTATTTTCTTTTGTTTGGCTGGTTTTTTGGTTTGTTTGGGGTTTTTTTGTCTTTTTGAGACAAGGTCCCGCTGTGCAGTTCAGGCTGGCCTTGAGCTCACTTTGTAGCCCAGGCTGGTCTCAAACTCGCAACGATCCTCCTGTCTCAGCCTCCTGAGTGCTGAGATTATGGGCGTGTGCCACCACCCCGCCCAGCGAGATGTGCTATTTTCAATGCTTCATTTACATCTAGAGGGAAACCAACAGAGTCTTGGATAAGGCAGTTTAATCTGGCGCCAGCCCAAGTAAGCTTTTGATAGGACAACTGGCCCAGTGCCTTCTTTGCAGAAGAGGGAAGCCAATCCTGGAATTCCAGATAAAAAGACATTTCCCTAAGCCTCGGGGCCACGGTGAGCCCACTCACCTTGCTCTAAAGAGCGAACTTCTTTTCCGCCTTCAGTGAATTACATCCCTGCTACCTTTCCTATGTGTCTTGCCAATTGTCCTGAGCAATTCTTTGTTCAGGACACTAAGAACCTGGAAAGAATCTCCCCAGGACCCACCCTCTGGTAACGACAGCTCCACCTTTCTGGCTTCTCAACTTCAAGCTTCATGCTAGGTCCAGTCTGTCAGCAAATCCCTTTGGCTTTTTCTGCGTAGTGCGTCCTGAACTGGGGAGGTAGGGCACTAGCTGAGCATGCGCAGGACTCTGGGTCCAACCCCAGCAAAGCCATGTGTATCTTGCAACGGCCTCCACCCGGCCCCCCTGCTCCGAAACCTAGCCCTCTCACTCCCCGTCTGTGTTCACGGAACAGCCTAAGTCATTCTGTCAAAAATCATGTAGTGCCTCTGCACAAACCCTTCCAAAGGCTCCCATCTCATTCACAGTAAAAGCCAGAATCTCACAATGGCCAGAAATGTTCTGCATGACTAGGATCCGAGAACCTCGCTGGGGCTGTCCTTGCTCAGCTAACTGCAGCCACGCTGGCCACCGGCCAGGCTCGCTTCTGCCTCCAGACTCTGAACTTCCTCCTACTTCTGCCTGGAACTGGTCCTCAAAGATCCCCGAGGCTCCCTCCCTCACCTCTTCTGCAGGGCTTGGCTCCGGGACTGCCAGTGTCTACACAGCCTGTTCCTGAATGAACGCTGGTCCTTCGGGGCCCGACTATACATTACATGTATAATATACGCAGTTTACTCCGTTATCTGACAGGATAGCCGTCTCCGTATGAAGGCATGTGTTTGTCTGTCTGTCATGGCTGTGTTCCCAGCTCCTTCACAAAACTGGCTTGTGGCAGGTGCTCCCTAGATCGGTGAAGAGAATAGCTGCACGTGTCAGAGCGGAGGCTCACACAGTGCTGAGGAGCTGGAGCTTGCGTTCTCGCCGCCCTTTGCCACTCTGCTGCTTTGTGACACTGAGACGATTGCTTCCCCTTTGGAACCTCAGTTTCCTCATTTTAACATGGGCGACATAGTGCTCCATCCTTGCGTTGCGCCAGCTTCGGGAGCCTCAGGGAGAAGCCGGACGTTTGTCTCTTTGCTGCCCTGGGCCGTGCACCGAGGACAAGGCTCACAATGCAGCCGCGGAGTCGCCCTGCTAAATGCATGCTCACAACCGGGCCACATGCATGGGATGCCACCAAGCAGATGGTGCTAGAAGGCCGGGTGGGGGCATCTTCCCTGTGCCAGCGTGGCGACCGCAACTACAGACATAGATGTCCTTGCAGCTCTAGGGGCCGGAAGTCCTGCATCAAGGGGCAGCAGGTTGGGTTTCTGCTGAGTTTACCCGTCACTCACGGATGGCCATCTCTCCCTGTGGGCTCGAGTGGCATTTCCTCTGCGTGTGTCTCACGGCAGCCTCATCCCCCATAACACAGAAGTCAGATAGGACTCTAGTGACCACCTTTTTTTTTCTTTTTTCTTTTTTTTGAGACTGTGTCTTGCTATTTTGCTCAGGCTTGTCAATATCTCGGCCTCAAATAATTTGTCCTCCAGAGTAGCTGAGTTACAAGTGTGTACCACCTTGGCAGGCGTAAGGGCATTTTAGCACAGTTACCTGTTAAAGATGCTATCTCCAGATGAGATGGTGGTGCACACTTGTAACCTCAGAACTGTGGGAGGCTGAGGCAGGAGGATCACAAGTTGGGCAACTTAGTAACCTAGTGAGCCTCTGTCTCAAAATTTAAAAATTTCAAAAAGGCTGGGGATGTAGCTCAGTGCAAGGGCCCTAAGTTCAATCCCCAGTATGGTGAGTTTGGGTGAGGATGCTATCTTCAGACGCATTCACTTTTTGACAAAGTGAGGATTTGTCCACATAGGAATTTGGCAGGAGAGGGAGCAGAGTTCAGCTCATAACATTAATTTAGATCCAAGGGGTGCACTGGAAAATGAGATGGGACGAGGGCCACTTTCCAGGCAGAGGAAAGAATATGCACAGAAACCCTGCACTTAAAGGAGTTGACAAGTTGGAAGAAAGGGCAGGAGGCACGCTGGGGACTGGGTGGAGAGCAGTCTGTCTGGGCCTGGAGGCCTGCTGGGGCTGCTTCGAAGACTGATACAGCAGGAGGTGTCTTCTGAAAAGATGACTCTGAGCTGGGTGTGGTGGCGCACACCTGTAATCCCAGCACTCAGGAGGCTGAGGCAGGAGGATCACTGAAAGTTCAAGGTCAACCTGGACTACATAGGAGACCCTGTCTCAAAAAAAAGGGAAAAGATGACTGCATGATATCATCAATGGCTGTCTCTTTCACAGTGAGGCCTCCTCATAGGATTCCCAGTGGACAGTTTTCATAAGGGCCACCTGATCTGGCTGACGGCAGGACTGAATGGAAAAGAAGCCAGGAAGGCGTAATAAACTACAGCGATCAGAAAATGCAACAGAATGGTAAGGACGAGCCTGCAAAACTACCAACTACTCCCTGTGTGGGGGTGTAGGGTGAAATATAGTTTAGACAAACGTGACTGTTGATTGAAACAAAGTTTTGGATGAGAATAGCACAAGAGCGACGTTGACAGAGGAGCAAACGGCCCAGCCCAACGTCTGTCTTCTGAAAGCCAGACACAGTGCTCATGAGTCCAGAGAAGCAGCACTGGTCTTTTATTTCTCCCTCAAGTTCAGCTGCAAGGTTCCCTTCAGTTACTATGGGGACGCAAACCCAGAATTCACAAAGGACCAGGGCCGGCGTTAAGGTAACGGACTCCGTCCTGGAGGCTCTCACAGGAATGAAATTTGCAGCCTCCCCAAGGTCTCTGCTTTGATTCCTGGAATTCAGTGCGGATGCCGCCAGATGTGAGCTCCGCCCACTCCACCTTGAGCCGGGGCCTCTATCTTCCGTGGTTTAACACAACAAAGCTGTAGCGCTTCTCCTTGCAGGAAAGAACTGTGCAAGCATTTCACCAGGAAACCTGAAGAACTCTGACTGTCCTCCTCTATCCCTTGACAGAGGAATGTACGAGCCGCCCATCCTAACTTTGGATAGAGCTGGCTCTTAGAATCTGCTCTGTAGCCAGGTATGGGGGTGGGTGCATACCTGCAATCCCAGCACTCAGGAGGCTGGGGCAGGAGAATCCTCATGAGTTCAAGGCCAGCCTGGGCTACACACTGAGACCCTATCTCAAAAAAAATTTTTTTTTAAAAAAGAAAGAGTCTGCTTTGTAACATTAGGTCAAATCTATCTCTCCTAAGACCTGGTCTTATAAGACATAGTCCTGCTCTTGGAAGTCTGGCCATCAGGAGCCTCACAGTCCCTGATTCCTCCTGGTCACAATGTCCCATTGTCCCACACCTGACAATAGCTTTGTGGTTCCCTCTCAAGGCCCCCAAATCTTCTGTTCCCATAGTGAGCACCTGCCCCTTCTCCATAGAGTGGGTTCCCCCAACAGTGCTTTTTATGAATATATGTAAATATATTATAAATATAGATGTATATATCCTTATGCATAAATCTTCTGGTATTTGTTTTTGGATACATTTCTATAAATGAAACTACACGGACGAATGGTGCATTTTATAGTTTCCGTTATATATTTCCAGAGTACTCTCCAGAAATGGCGATCTTGTTTCTACGCCCACAAGCAGTTTACAAGAGAGCCGGTTCCCCACACCCTAGCCACCGAAGTGGGGAATTTTCATCCTTTTAATCATTGCCAATGTGATAGAGGAAAATGATTATCTCATGGTTGCTTTAATTTGCATTTCTTTGATTACGGGTAAGATTGGACCCGTTTCCCAGCCACATCCTACCCTTTTGCAATCAAGTTTTGGAGCCAAATGCAGGACCTTACATGTATTCCTGTTAAATCTTATCTCGTTGGATTCAACCAATCATTCCTTCCTGTTGAGATAATTTTGGATCCCAGCGCTGCAGGCCCAACATATTGGCCTTCCCTCCCAGTCTGGTGTTATTTGCACTGTTGATAAGCAGTTATCTTCAGCGTTATCCAAACTGCTGATAGAATGTTAAAGGGTAAGGCCAAGGACAGAGCTGCTTGGCATGCCACCAGGGAATGCCTGGGGACAACGCCGTCCCAATCTGCTGTCACAGTTCTACCTCGCTGTGCTCGGGAGTCCAGGGCGGCGTAAGGAGCCTCCACCTGGGACACAATGCCTGCACACCCGCCCCAGCCCTGGCCCTAATGAACTGTGGGCCCTGCCAAGTGGTGTCCGCTTCCATGGAGATGCAGCTTAAAGTTCCAGAACCCTTACGGTCACTCTCTTGTCCATGGGGATTTCACGAGGAATAGTCAAATGAGTGTCAGAAGTCAAGATGTTCTAGCAAAGCATGCACCCCAGGTACTACACGCAGTAAAACTATCAGACATTTCCTCAGTAGTTGCCCTTGACCCTATGGTCTCACTTTCTACAAGCCGGTCATCCATTCACTCGATATCTGCTCCAGAATTTTGCTCAGGATGAACACTAAGCTCATCGGCCCTCAGTTTATTTAACTTATGAATTTTTAAAACCAAGAGCACTGGCCTTGATTGTCCATGATTCCTCAAAGCACCCAGGGACTTCTGAGGGCCTCAGCGCCCCCTGCTGAGCCTCATGGGTTCTACCACCAGACTCAGTTTTCTTACAGATCTGCAGGGAGCAAGTCCCTGGGAGGCCTCCTCTCCTTCAGCCACCAACAGGGGGCAGTGGGGACCGGGCTAGGGCACCGCAAGGAGGGTCCATTACTAGAGCGATGCGATCAAAGAATAAGGTGAAAGTTAAATTTTTTTTAAAATTCATTACAGCAAAAGATACGTTACCATTAATTCCCCTCACTTTGAACACACTTATCCCATTATGCTTTCCATTTTCTGAAGCAGTTCTGGAAATGCTCTTTCATGAGTGTCGGCTGTGGCTCTCTGTAGTACAGGTAGAAGCACAGGAGCTTCCCTTCCCTCTGTTTAACTGTAAACACCACCCTAATGATTATCCAGGTTTAAATTTAGGACCGCCCTAACGATTACCTGGGTTTAAGATTAGGACCACCCTAATGACTATCTGGGTTTAAATTTAGGAGGTTAAAATGCCCCAGGCAGTAGGTTACTGATGTGAGTAAAACAGTGGGAGGCACCTTGGGTCAGGGGTGGCTGACCCTATAAACACCGGAAGCCTGAGTTTCCCAGGGCCCTCCTTCCCTTTGCCATTTTCCCCTTTTTACCCCTCTGCCCTTTTCCCTGCCCCTGCCGTCATCCCACGATCTTCAGTAAACACAGCTATTCATTACATACTACGAGGCGTTCTCCTGGCGGTTCCTTCCTTGCCGTACACAAGAACCTGGACAACTTTTGGCCCGCTCCACGGTGACTCCTGTCAATCTGAGCTGATTCGAAAGTTCCCCTTTCGTGGTCATCGTGACTTTGGGGGAGAGCCAGAAGTTGCATGATTGGCAGGTCCAGTGAGCTAGAAGAATGAGAACATTGTGAATCAATTCAGGACATACAGGCAGCCGGGAAGAGACATCCACGAAAGAGGACTTCCAGAAATGCTCCCGAAACTGGCGAGAATGATGGAATGACTTGTTCCCGGGGAGGGGGAGGCTTTTGAGGGGGATCGATGGCCTCCTGTCTTTTGTTGTAATACACTTTTTAAATTAAACATTCACCATAGTTTTTTAATCGCACCTTGTAGGAGCTAACAGGGAAGAACGGACTCATCTGAAGGAACCAAAGGACTTTGTGGGACTGACAAACAGCAACAGCTCAAGTCCTGAGCGGAAGAAACAGCGTCCGCCCCTGCTGGGGGACTCTGGTCGTGTGCCCGTCCCCTCAGCTCTGGGTGTGACCCAGAAAATGGCAAGGTGCCGTCATTCCAGAGGAAATCTCAGCACAGTGTGATGACTTCCTTGGGGTTCCTCAACACTAATGTCAGTTGCGATTCCTCTAAGGACGGTACACATTAACCGCAGGGAACAGTGTAAGTGACGTAGTGACGCCGTGCGAGCTCTGGTCACCTGGCTCGCTGTCACCAGGCCTAGGAATATAGTTCCTGATTCACACTTGTAAACTCGGCAGTAAAGGATGTGGAAATGCCCTTCCCGCTTTGTTCTTGCTTACGCCAGCTAATAATAATGGCCATATTGATAACACGGCTGTGGCGGTGGGAACGAAGGTGTCCCTTCCACAAGTCACATTGGGACTTAGTCCCCAAGGTGTGGGACTGATAGGTGGAGCCTTTGGGGAGGTGTAGGTCTGAGGGTCCCACTCTGGTGAATGGGCTCCCGTAGAAGGGGCTTAAGGGAGTAGGTCCGCCCTCTCTCCCTCCCACTTGGTGCCATGCTGAGGATGCAGACACCCAATACTGGCACTGTGACCTTGGCCTCGCAGCCTCCAGGACTATGAGAAATACCCTTCTGCTGTTTGTAAATTGCTGAGCCGGTGATATTTTGTGATAAGAGCACAGATAGACAAAGATAGCCAGCGAGGCTCTGAGTACCTCCCATGCATGAACCCTGCAGCCCCAGTAGCACCCCAAAAGGTGGATGCTGATTTTGGTCCAATTTTCCACTATGGAAATAGAGGCACAGTTGAGAGATGAAGGACTGGGGGTAGTGGCACACGCCTGTAATCCCAGCACTCGGGAGGCTCAGGCAGGAAGATCACTGTGAGTTTGAGGACAGCCTGAACTACATAGAGAGACCCTGGGTCAAAAAAACAAGAACAATCAAACAAAAAGGACGGAGAGAGGGATGAAGCGACTCACCCAAGGTCACCCATCTTATAAGAGGTAGAGCTGGGATTTGAACTCACGCTGACTGGATCCACGGTTCCGCCTCTAGACAGCAACCTTCTACCACTTCTCAGTGGAAAGGAGAGCAAGCAAGAAACACTTGGAAATTATTTCTCCCCCGAATGGTGAAACTTGACTGCGAACAGTGGCCTCAGGGACGACGTGGGACACACTGACTCTTTGATCTCCTGCGTGAACCACATGGCCAGGGCGCGGAGGAGCCACCAAGCAGTGCCAGCTCCTCGGGGGGCCGCACACCCCTGCAGCGCGTGTCCGGAACACACAACAGCTGGAGCCCAACCCCTGCTGCGCTGGGACACAGGACCCAGGGCTCCACCCGCCTCCCGCAGCCGCTTGCTCGCTCACGGGGCCCAGCATGGTGACTGCCGGCCCCGCCCGGCCAGCTACAGATGCCGCTGGGACAGAGCGCCAAGCACCGGCTTCCCAATATTGTCTTCCAGTTGCTAGACTACACTGCTTTCCAGTCCATTATTTGGAATCTACCAGCTGAAATGTAAGTAAAGCGCTCTAATACAAATCATTTCAACCGCAACCAGGCAATTGGCTTCTGACGAAGCTGGCAAGGGAAGCCCATGAACTCACTCCGATTGACATATTTCGAGATTCTCCTGCCAAGTCCAATTGGCGGCTCGCGGCGATGGAAAGGGCCCCGTGTTTCCACTCCTCTCGGTCGGGCCTGCTGGTATCTGATTCAGCGTTGACTTCACGGATGAGCTCAGTCCCCAGCACAGCTGCGGCTCTGTGAGAGGCTGCTTCCCACCGCGGCCTGACCCCACCTGGCGTGGCGGGCTCCGGGGCCACCTGCTCGAGCTCACCAGCCGGCCCCTGTCCTCGGAGCACTCCGGGCCTGGCTCTAGCGCCATTCCCCACAGAAGCCAATCCGAGCTGACCACAGCCTCCGCGCGCTGAGGTCACAGCCAAGGGTCCCCCTACACCGTGGTTCCCTGTCCAACCTGCACCCCGTGTTGCCATCCTGCTCCCGGGCAGACCCCCTTCCTGAGCAGCTGAGCTGCCAGGAAACGGAACAGGAGCTTCTTCAAAAAGTAATTTATTCCAGGATGACTCCACAGGGTGGGATGAGAGTCACTCAGAGTACCTAGGAAGCCACCTCTCAAGGTACAGCTGTCCCCACAGGCCACGGGGTCTCCTTGGGCAGCCCTTCCCCCAACCCCACCAGCAAACACAAAACAAAAGGGTTCAAGACGCTCGTTCCGGGATCACACATTGGTGGGCTGCCATCCTTGGAGTCCACGGAGGTCCCTGGGGAAATTGCTGAGGGCGGAGGGCGAAGGGGCCTACAGCATTAGAAGCAGCAAAAGGCTGAAATGTCCCTGGCCTGTTCGTCTGAGGACGGAACAGAAGCACAGGATGTTGGCAGCGACAAAATGCGTGATCCAGTGGGCCCGTCTCTTCATCTTGGTGAGATAAGGCAGGAAGAAGCGAAGAGAGAGCTTCCTTCCGGTCTGTATCCCAATCGCTGTGCTTCCCTGATGGTTTCATGCACTGGCCTTTTTATTTATTTATTTATTTATTTGGTATCAGGAATCTAACTTAGGACCTTGCACTTCCCAGGCAGGCATTTATGCTGCTGAGCTAGATCCCTGGCCGGGTGATGGCTTCATATAAGATGATCCCTAAGGTGCCATCAGGGTGGGGGTGGAAACCAGAAGGAGGAGATGGTTTAGGAATCAGATTCAAATGCCGGGCCTGGTGGCACACACCCGTAATCCCAGCACTTGGGAGGCTGAGGCGGGAGGATCACTGCAAGTTTGAGGCAAGCTTGGGCTACAAAGTGAGTTGAAGGCCAGCCTGAACTGCATAGTGAGACCCTGTCTTAAAAAGACAAAAAAGAAAAAAAAAGGAATCAGAGTCAAGCGGGGGACAGATCACCAGCTCCCAGAAGACAAGTTCACAGCCTCTGCCTGCTCCTCCACGCAGACCAGGCAGAGGGTGGCAGCCCAGGTCCATGTCTGGTCTCCTGACAGGAGACCCGGGACCCAGGTCTGTGATGCACACAGGTAACAGGGCCCTCTCTGGCCACGGACACCTGAGCGAGAGCCTGAGAAAACAAGCCGCAGAACTGACGGAAATGAGGGGGCGTTTGGATAGCAGCAGCGGCAGACAGAGCGGCTGGGGCCTGAGACAGGCAGTTTGAGCTCCTGAGGAGATAAATTATTTGGACACTTTGGGGATGCTGATGCTTCAGTGGAGAGAGGTGTTTGGAAATGTTCTGCAGTGGCCAAGCCCACCATTTATTTTTATATTTATTTATTTTTTATTTTGATCTTTTGAGACAGGGTCTCACTATATAGTCCAGGCTGGTCTCCAACTCACAGCGCTCCTCCTGTCTCAGCCTCCTAAATGCTGGGATTGCAGGTTTGTGCCACCACACCCAGCTACCACCCTTTAGATAAAAGAGTGACAGAAAGCAGAGACAAAAGAGGACCAATCCAGCCTTTCAGAAGGAAGTCACTCCCAATCAGAGCATTAAGCATTCAGAAGCCAAAGCTCTCCAAATCTAACACCACCGCACTCCCACACTGGAGATCCAGTTTCCAGCACCAGAAGTCGGGGGACACATCCATCTCCTGCAGACCCCCAGTGATGCTCAACCCCATCCCTCTTTGGCCTTCTGGCCTCGCTCTCTGCCCCCTCAGACACAGCTACCAGGACTGCCCTGCAGAAGCCTACACACACCAAGACACCGCCAACCCCAGGCCCTTGGCACATGATGTTCTGTCTGCCTGGAACTCTTCCGGAGTCCTCCCTTCCTTTCAGCTGTTCTCACACGCCCCTCCCCAAGGAGGCCTTCCCGGCCACCCTCTCCCCCCGGAGCCTGCCCCTTCCGCACACGATTTCCTCATAGCTTTGGTCCCCATAGCACATCCATTTATTTCCTTCTCTGCCTCTCCCACCAAATGCCAGCTGCTCTTGGGCAGGAAGCTTCAACTGCCGTGCACAGCCCGGTGCCCAACAGTACCCAGCGTGGCCACACACGCACACGCATGCACACGCACGCACATGCCCACACCGGTAATTCCTGAGCATCCACGGCACATGGCACACGGCACTGACCTAGATGCACAGCGCTTTTGTAAACCCAAAGTGGCCACGTGTCTCTGCTCCCTCGCAGACTTGAGGAACTGGGTGAGGACTGTTACACCCGCCCTTCCCGCCCTCTCACCGCCCCTCTGCTTCCCCAGAACAGCTTTCTGGCCACAGTGGGAAAGCGGGGCCCATGGGGGATGGGATGGGCGGCACCTCCTGTGATTTGGAAACACAAGGTCTGCTCTGACCCGGCTTCCGGGGCCTGGCTTCTTATAGGTCCTGGGCAGGAGGTGTGTGCGAAACACTGTCAGCCTTCCGGGTACTGGTGAGCATCGGGGCTGGGGGAGCCATCTGCAGGGCCACCACGTGCAGGCAGGTAAAACACCAAGCCGTGGGAAAAGGGACAGCCACCCTCAGCCAGCGGCAGGACCAGAACCCAGTAACAGGGACATCTGAGCAAGCAGGGAGTGACATCTCCCCTACATCCCTGCTGCAGCACCAGGGTTCTCACTGCGCTTCCTCGCTGGTCTCCGGTGCCAGAGACAGAGGGGACGTGGCACTGTCATCTCAAAGCTCCCGGCCTCTCCTAGCAAATCTCAGCTTCTTCCCTTTCATCTGAAACAGCCTTCTGTGAGCTTGTGAGTGACCCCCAAGTAACCTCTCTACTCCTGTTGGAAGGGAAAATATTTCCAGAGCAGAGGCAGCAGTGCCCAGCCTGGCATATATGAATGCCCGCTTATCCCGGGTCTGGGTGCAGAAGTGAGCCGTAGGCAGAGGGCTTGCGAATCAAGAGGTTGATTATTTGCCCCATCAAGTATTTTGAAACCAAACTTTCCACATTTTTAAAGGCCCCATGTCATAAAATTCCCATGTATGACTGCATTTTGAAAAACAGCCCTTGTGTGTGTGTGTGTTGGAATGGGAGAGGGTTAGCGTATAACTTCGAAAACAAACTCCTAGACTGGAAACCTGAGCCGCACGGGCAGACTGGCCCACAGAGCCTGCTGCAACGAACTCACGTGATGCCAAGTGTGCCCAGCAAGGGCCGGGGGCCGAGAAGAACCTGGGCCACCCCGTGCCAGGCGCTGCCGCTCTAAGTGCAAAGCAAGCAGGTTTTGCTTTAAAACCCTCATACCTGGTGCTCGAATAGTTCTTGCTTTCCAAAGGTGCCCTCTTTCCATGAGATTGGCTTCTACCTTCCCACCTCATGCCGGCTGGCACGAAGACGAA